GGGGGGGGGTACTTAGATAGTCATGATTACCTAATCGACCCAAGATTTCAAATCTAGAAGCACACTTTGGTTTTTGTCTCACAAATGAAGGGTATTTGTGAAGTAAGATCCCACTCCAAATCTGGGCTCTGTAGCTCAAATGGTTTGAGAGATATAAATTCCTGAAATTTTGATGCAGAAACTGCGTCTTTGAGAGGGGGTATAATTAAACTCTATGAATCTTTGCAGTAAGGTCAAAACTGAATACTCAATTGGAAAGAGAATTGAAAGCTGATTCGAAACCATCTATGGCAAAAACTTCGATTTTTAATTCCTACCCTTCGATTAAAGATATCCAAAAAAATTAGTGGAATATCGCAACTCTCTCAACAAAGATAGTCTTCAAGTATCACCAAACATGGTTTGCAACTTCCTCTGAGGTCTCTTAACATTCTCTAATATTTGCAGAAAGCAATTTGAATATCAGCTTTCTGAAAATATTGGAGAATGTTAAATGACCTTAGAGGAAGTTGCAAACCAAGTTTGGTGATAGTTGAACGCAATCTATTTTGGTCATGAGAGTTACGATATTCTTCCAAATTCTTTTGATATCTTTCGTCGATGCTTAATGTTTAATATGGCGTATTTGCATCTCTCATGGACAAAAATATAATTTGTCCAACCATAGAATGCAAATTTGTAACTTGCAAGATAAAAAAATAAGAATTACGTAAAATGTGCACAAAAATGCATCTTTCCTGGGGAAAAAAAAGGTTGTTTAGATTTACAATACAAGCGAATAATACATTAGTATTCATTGGTAATCATTGGTAATCCTTGGTAATCATTGGTAATCTTTACAATTTGGTAACCCGGTGTACACAGTTTTATGGAGTTGGGCACCCCTCGGACAAAGCATTACTTTCTGGTTCACATATCAATACAGTGTTTTTACAGAAATTAACTGGAAGTGAATTGTACAGGCACTAGTCATTCTCCATGTTCTCTGTAATATTTCAGAAGATATGTCGTACTATTACATCCATTTGCAAACAAGCACACATTATGGGGAAAATTACAGAGTTTCGGTAATAGTGGTAATACTTTACTATAAGATTAGCGTAATACTTCTGTACCAGATTACTGGCATACTCTTGAAAAGTTACGAGTTTTTTTAACTATGCAGAAACATTAGTGCGCATTCATGTTGCAAAATCAGAAAGTAATTTCTTATTTTGGCCAACGGAAGAAGTGCAAATTTTAATTGATCCGAATTCATCAGGGGCTCTTCCAAAATTGGTCCAGTTACTCTTGTGCCCTAAAATATGGATGCACAACTATTTGCTGCAGGAGCGTCTGACGAGGGGTAATATGTAACAGTAGAAGCTACTGGTCAAAATTTTGTCCCTTTTGCCTCTATCTCACACTATTTATGCCCTTGACTTGATGATTTTTTGTAACCGAAACGGCTGAAAAACACTAAAACATGAACAGCCGCTGGTAGGACAAGCAAGTCGGTCCCTGCCCCAGTCCCTGCCGAATACTTGCCGGTAGTGTAGCAAGGTCGAGCTGGCAACTCCGTTTTGCAAAAGTGTCAACGAAATTGTTAAATTAAATAGAATTTCTATTGTTTTCTCTACAGGAAGTTGCTGTTCCACTCATAGGAGGAATGACGTTGCACTTCTTTGCGCGCACGATGTCCTTTTGGTCCAATAATGTAAATCTTCTTCGAAACGTTATCTACAATCGGAGGCTGACCTCCATCCAGTGAACATTCTGGTGCCACAAAGTTACGTTGTGCCCCCGACGACACATCCAGAGGTGCCCTAGGAAAAGTGCATAGCGTGAAGTGCGGCAACGTAGTGTCTTTTTGCCTGGCCCTTGTGATGCTTGTTGTCTTTAAGTAGTGTGTCGTTTAGAATTAGTCGCAAAAGGTGACCCGTAGCTTTGAGCGTCGCTCCAATAAAGCACAAGAAAATTTAATTGAACGGTGAAAAGTCTTTCGATGAAGGTCTTGGTTTGCATTGCGAGCCTGTTATTAATACGCAATTCACACTGTAGTCGTGTTCGCAAGGTTCTCTCCCTCTAAAAATCGACGAGCGCCCACACTCAAACAGATCTGCGTTTTACAAGGGGAACCATAGGCCGATCGTTGCTAGAATTTCCTGTCCGTTTTTGTGCGTTTCACGAGTGCCATTTTCTCGAGCAGGCCGCCGGGCGCGCACACTAGGGCGAAAACAGAAATTTAGGAACAAAAGTTTAGAGCACTCGGATTGGTAACAAAATTCGTCATCTAGAGACGCTAGTAAGCAACATATACTAGGTAGATGTACGCCAGACCACGTCTCGCGTAACAGGCTTCGCGATATCTCACGAAACACTGTTGCGCTGCGACGAGCCTGGCATTGGCATACATCTACCTAGGCCTGCGGCGCTGACACCCGAGTCGGGTAGCGCAAAAATGTATAGTATACAAAGATACGGGCCTCCGGCCCGTCAACTTCCCGGCTCTTCGACTAAGCATGCAGGGTTGTACATTTTTTCGCTCATTTTAGTCAAAAACTCCCTGTGGTGCCTAATAGGGTGTTCCAGGCAATCTAAAACGGAAGTAGGAAAAGAACAAACTCACTGACTTCTCTGTTTCCGTAATGGCTCTGATTGGTCGAGCTTGTCACGTGCCTCCGAAGTCTTTCAGGTATGAGAAACTGTCAGATCAGTTTCTAGCTCCCCTCCATATTTGAGAGGTTAGGATTGGACCAAACTGCCATGGTAGTTTCTCATACTAGGCGGACGGAAACAGATAAATCAGTAAGTTTGTTCTTTTTCACTTCCGTTTTAGATAGCCTGGAACACCCTATTGGCTGAGCGATTAGCGAAGCCTATTACTCCAGTCATGATCAAAAAGTTCCGCGTCTGTCTGTCTGTTGGTCTGTCGTCACGATAACTCGAGAACGAATTGAGCCAGCGACCTGGGATTTTCAGGGTCGTTTTGAGTCATAAAAAGACAGATCAAGTTCGAAGAAGAGCATTCTAGCTCAAAAATTGGATTTAAAAAAAATCAAAAACCACAGGTCCCACAAATAATGTTTTAAAAAAATATTTTTTTTACAGTTTCCTAAGGGGTAACTCATGAAAGTAGAACCCTTTGGGCGAAAATTTCGTCCGTTTGGCTCTATCTTTAACCAACTAGGTAGATGTACGCCAGACCACGTCTCGCGTAACAGGCTTCGCAGCTCAGCCAACTAAATTGCATGAAAGCGATGAGGGATGCACGGTTCAATAACGGTTTTATTTCCTTTCTTTGTAACGAAGGTCTTAATTTATTTAAGAGTTAAAAATTCGGCATGTACAAATATATTACATTCAAAAGATCGATAATTTAGAACAATTCTGTTCAACGATTGAACGGCAACATTACATCTTTCACATAAAGTCTTATAATGAAACCCAAAGTCAGAATTCTGCGATAAAAAAACCCTCTAAACCTAGTAAATCCATTGGAAATGTTTCACGGAATAAAAAGAATGAGTTGTCACTAATGATTTAGCTTATTTCATAATATACAAGAAATTCGCTGTTGCAGCTAACAGTTGGTTGCCACAGACAAGAGTTAATTGTCACAGCGAAGCTGTCGCTGCAGGAGACAATCGGTTCGTCCTGACAGCGAAACACCCATTAAGTTTGTCAGAACGAACCCATTGTCTCCTGGAGCGAAAGCTTCGCTGTGGCAACTAACACGTGTCTGTAGCAACCAACTACTAGCTGCCACAGCGAATTTGGGATTAGCTCTATCAAAATTAGCCAATTTATTAGTTGTGAGGACTATTTTTTCCGTGTTTTAAACCTTTCTAGGCATTTACTGACAACATCGGAAACTCTGAAGACATCGAAATAGTTAAGGGTACTTGCTTCCGCTGCGTGGAAACTCTTCAATCGCTTTAAAATGCTTGCAGAAAATAGCTTTGAATTGTTGAAAACTCTTCTTTGAAGCTTGCAATTCAAAGATGGAAAATTTTTGAAACGTTGCAAAGAATATGTACTGTGCAAGCATTCCTATGTTATTGTTTACTTTGACTGTCTAAAATCTGTCCCTAGGAGAATGCAGTCCTTTTCATGTGTAGGATACACGGGCTTGCCATCTTCACCCAAGTATTCGGCGTAGGTCACTTTTGCTATCTCCTGGAATAGAAGTCAAGAGACCCAATTAGCCATGAGAGCATAACAAGGAGAGGCAACAAGACGTTTGCTAGGCCCTACCCTGACCAATGAAATACAAGTTTTCTGCTAATATACCGTGACGCTGGGGGTCTGGGCGTTTAGCACGCATAAAAAAAAGGTTCTTTTCATAACGGTGTATTTTCTGGCCCGCCCTTCTGCTTCTGAAAAAGCATTAAAGCGGTCTTATGCAACCGCTCTCGTGTCCGTCCGTTCGTCCGTCCGTCGTGCGTGTAAGAGAAAGGAGATGAGCTAGAGGTCTGAAAATTTCAGGGTATCTTAAGGTTCACTCCCTGAAAACGAAACGCCTATGGCAAATCCTATAGGATAACGTACGGGGTGAAGGGGGTGAAGTGAGGTAACTAAGAAATAGGGGTTGGTCCAAAAGGTAGGAAACAAATATTTTTTATGGTCGTCTAAGGGGTAACTCGTGAAAGTAGAGCCCTTTGGGCGAAAATTTTGTCCGTTTGAGTCTTTCACCGTTTGGGTGCTAGAGTGCTTTTTTCGACGAAAATACGGCGGAAATGGCCACGATTCCCATAAAGACGTACAAGGAGGCGGCCAATCGTAAAATGTCATAGGAAGTACCCCCCCAAAACAAGACATTCTGAATCAGGATCTTCCCTCGGATTTGCCGTATCTTTCACTGTTTCGGCCCTAGAGGTGGATATAATGAAAACAATTGCAAAAATGTTAAGTTTTAAGACTTTTTGACACACAATTAAATCTTAAAACTTCACTGGTTTCTTTTTTCTTAATTCTTGAGTAAAGCAGAAGGGTGGGGTGTAGTCACGATGTTGCCCCGTTACAGTCTTTTGTCATGTCCAAGGAGCAAATCTCTTGGGCCGCAGGCCCCCCGCCGGAAGCCAGCTTTACTCAAATATACTAAGTGATTATTTACATGATTTATTAGGTTATGTTCTTCAGTAAATTGGGCGACTGAAATGGTCGGGCCGGAGGCCCGACCATCGCCGCTGGCAGGCCAAGCAGGCCCGGCCCCTGCCGAACGATGTTGCCGGCGAAGCGGAGCTGGCAACTCCGTTTGGCGGAAGGGCGGGCCTGCTTGTTGAATGATGTTCTTTCTGGAAGACCGGAAGACCTCTAGCAAATTTTGAGCGTCATGTGTTAGCGCTAGTAGGGCTTTTCTGTTCATGTCGGAAAAGAGCCGTGCGAGCTTCTGTACCTACCTGTTATCCTTCGCTACTCAGCAGTGACCGATTTGCGAAACTTAAAGCTCAAACAGAACATTTAGAGGTCTGGCGTACATTTCGCATGACAATTTACCACCACCCCATCCTATCAAAGCTAGACAGTCAAAAGCCGAGCTGGCAGGCGCAAACGCCACGTTTTAAACTTTTTACAAGGTTGACTAATGAGAACGTCCGGTGGAAACCCTTCGGCCCACGTATAGTCCTAAGAGAGGGACGACGTCTGCGGAAGCCGTCACACTATGCAACTATTCCCCTCACAGTGGACCGTCCACCGTTTTTAGCCCGCCCTTCTGCTTTGAAAAAGCTATTCAGCGGGCTTATGCAAACGACCTCGTGT